CTGGACCAGCTGTTTGTGAACAGATAAGGACTTGCGGGTGATGTAAGAGTTGGAAACCATTAGTTTGAGACACTGACTACACACGACCCTTGCAGACTGTGCGTTTCACTGCTTTTTTGGACATCTGAAACTCCCACTCCCCCTGTTTGAGAGCTTGGCCTCTGAGGTACTGCAACACAAACACATTTTAAAGTATCCTTCTTTAGAAAGCTGTATGTAGACGTTTAGACTAAAGCTTCCTCACCAGTCTCCTCCTTCAAAGTGGTATTTTGCAGTGACATGCCTAAAGAAGGTCTGTTTAAACTTGAGTAAAGAATCTCTATCAGTGAGTATTTCCTATTTTCCATAATATTGCATGAAGAACTGTTTACCAGCTTAGCTTATACTACAATGTTTTTATTCATAATTTTCAGTGTATGAGATTAGATAAACACCCAAGCATTTACTAACTGTCCATGTGACATCAACTGTTCAGCATTTGCTCCTAAACACTTGACCATACATAGTCTTCTTGGAATTAGTCAACAATAGGAGCAAATCTGTCACATAGTGAAACAAGTGTTCTCGTATACTCACGTCAGCTGTAACCGCATGTACGAAGCTTGCCTTCTCTTTGGAAAGAAACCACCACCGAACGCCCAAAATAAAACATTATCTGCTCTCTCTGGAAAGAACCAATTGTATGATGAATATTTTCACAACGTGTCAGATGAACATGTCCTTTGATCCTATCCTAAACAAATCTTCACAGACAGACCCTTAGGCTTACAGTGACTGACCCCAGGACAAGCCCGAGTCCGTATTTATGAAGTCACATGCAAAATCCATACCTCTTACTCTGACTTTCTTTTAGGTGCTCACCACTCAATACTGCAGCATAAAGACTGAATTTGCTCTTACCCCTTAGATTCTAGATCAAAGCAAACAAATTCTTATATGATCAAGACACAGGACTGTAAGATTATTTCTTCCCATCAGCTTCATACAGCACACATCACAAGTGCTTGCCCTTCACTCCAGTTTTCAAGGCAATTATGCAACAATAGCAACAATTGTTAGCGTGTGTTTTAAGAGTAAGCATTGATTTCAGAGCTACTGTAATTCTGATCTAACGTTTAGATTCGCGTCTACCCTAACAGATATTTATAATTCACTTCCAACAGCTGTAGTGCTTTCTTTATCACGGTTTTGTGGCTGTGATTTTACACCAGTCAGGACTGCAAGTCCTGCTCATTGTGAGCTTCTCCTTCATTTGCATCAGTGCCTGCACAAAGCAGGTTTACTTTCAAAGCAAGCGGCATCTCCCAGGCCTCACCTATTTACAGAAAACACAGGCAGGTGGGCAGAGCGGCTTTGAAGTTCATGCTGTTTGCAAGCAAGGCCAATACCCCGATTCATAATGAACTTTAACCAATGGCATGAGAAACCAACTTCTTCCAAAGGCTCCAGTCTCCCTCTGCCTACGGAAGTGAAAATTGATTTAGAGCAAAGTTTGTTTTCAAGCTTACCAACCTTGACAATGTTTCATGTCATTCTCATCCCCCAGGTTATTTAGCTCTTTTTTTCTTCCTATTCATCTTGATGACAAACTAGTTTTGATGTCTGTGTTCAGTTACTCTTTTTTAGCATTTGCATGTTAGTCTGACTTTCCTCATTAGACACCAGATACTCAACAGTGGTTTTTACACACCCACTGACTTGATGAGTGCTTGTGCTTTTACAACACAAACTTATACAGCTACACATCAGGGCACAAGCTCTCCTTAGAAAAATATTCCCTTAAGTAAAGGGTGGAAACAGATTCAAGGGGTGTCAAAGAATAGCATTCACATGTTTTAGGGGTACCAAAACTAAACAAGAATCTATATGCTTGTTTTAAATGTAGCTATATCCACAAATGTCTGCAAAGTCTCCGTATTATTCAAGCAGCACAGTCCTGGCACAGTAACACAGCAGCAGAGGAAGATGGAGCAGCTCCATTTCTCACGGAAGGTAAAGGTGACCTCAGCATGAAATCAAGAGCCACAGAGGTGGCGGCTTCAAGTCTGATTTTGATGGGAAAAATAAGTCATCAGCTACACAAAATGCACCAAAGTAAGTGCTTCATTATTAAAAATCAAACATTTGCTCAAAACAGGAAGGGACTGAATATATAGTGAAATTTAAGTCTTGCAGTAAGTCATAGCAGTAACAGTATTCTTTAAGAGCCCAGCATAATGCATTTCTAAAAGAGGAAGGTCATGAAATTCCCTTGAAAGAAAAGGGTAGACTGCCAGGAATAAACAAGCCAAGGTTTCCATGCTCAGGTTATACTTATTTTTTAAAATACCAGGCTCTCAGACTACATTGTTTATTCTTCCCCTTCGAACTTTAACAACTGTAACTGTCTTAACATTAAAGCATTGCATTCCTAATAACCTAATACACCAGGTACTGATGGAGACCAGGCACAGGCGCTACCACGCTATATGACTGTTCTTCTAACAGGCAGCCACAATACAGCTGAAACCATCCAAAAAACCCGTAGACTATATTGGTTTTGGCAGCACCAATCACTGTGTGACAAGAGACAAAAATTAAAACTCCACTCCTTTATAGTGGGACAAAGCTGCATCACACTTTCAAGGCAAAACAGCGATATTAACTGCGTAAGAGAACACACAACTTCCCCAACAGACTCAGTAGTGCCCGCTACCACCCAAGCTCCCCATTGCAACCCCCTTCCCACCTGCTTTTTAACCAGGGATAGTTTTACTGCTGGAGGCATTCAAAGGTTTAATTTACAAGTCTCACAGCTAATCTGGCAGTTCTAGTGGAAGCACCACTTGGGCGACTCAGACCAAAAGATAACACCACATTTGCCGAAGGAATAGACAGGAAGGAAGGATCCTAATAATTATCACTCAATTTGATCTTCCCTAAGTTACACAAAACACGGTAACCTTCCAACACTTCACATCCTGGTAGCACTGCTGGGATCAGTGGCTCCCACGCTGCACGCCCAAGCCAAAGGCTGCATTCGGGTGGCAGTTCAAAACACTCGCTCCTCTAAAGTGGCTCAGGTCCCCAAACCAAAGTATGCTGTCACATGAGACAGCATGGATTCACTTTGCCTTCGATAAAGACAACACCCAGTGCAAACCAGTGTATTACACCTCAAATAATTTGCGGTGCCCCGTTTGCCACAGGCTCATGGCATGAGCCAACCAACCCCACACGACACGGATTTGCCTGTCAGCAGTACATAAACAGTTGGTCCCAGCAGCATCTATTAGTGGTTTTTTTGGCAGGTAACCCCTCTTCCAGAGGGGAACAGTGTTGGAGGGACAGATGTTCAGGGTGGTTAGTCACTGTTCAAGGGTTTTGTTCAGCAGCAACCGTTAATGAACATCTTAAGAGGTTCTGTAATGAAGAACTTTGTTTTAGAAGAGCTCAGGCATTTCCTTTGTTTCCTTAAATTGCTAGTGGATAACGTGCTCTGGTAATAACAGCACTACAGCTAGGGTAAACTTACCATAATCTCCCATTAGCAAACACCTTGTCTACACTATTTAAGCCATTCCTTGGAATGTTACAAAATGAAAACTGTATTTCTTCTCATAAGGTTTTGTCTCTGCTGTATTTTGGCCCAGAATTACACTACACAATGTTTTAAATTAAAGCAGATAGAGTTCAAAGTTAGTCCAGAAAAAAAAGGTCAATGGACTGGGAGTTTCATAGCCTGCATAACTTCAGAGTTAGCACACAAGAGAGGAGGAAAAGAAAAAATTCTACTTTAGCCCAAACCAGAGGAGGATCAATAAACACTTTCACGTCCTCCTTCCTTCTGTGATGGCTTCCTACCATCCCCTCCCACTCCCCTATCACTAACATCCTCTGGTTGTTTGCCCTCTTCACAGAGCACTCCACATAGTAAAGCGTCAGGTCAGAGCTGCAGCAAGTTAGACTCTCATCTTGCCCATCACAAAGTACGACGGCTATTCCAGCACCTCCAGCAATGGACTGAAGTCATATTAAATAAACACACTACTATGCTTAAGAGAACAGAAGCTTAGGAGCCCAGAAAAGAAGATCTAAATTGACAAGATTAAAGACATTGCCACAGAGGAACAGATGTTGGCTAGGAGCTTACCTTTCAACTGAGGCAATGCCACATACACATAAACCCCCCGGCTCAAACCTTTTAGCTTACAGCTCATGTTGAACAAGATGTGCCAAAACCAGCCATGGTAACAACATTTCAAAAATCCTGTAGGTATATGCAAATATATCAAAAATATCCAAGGACTGACAAGACAAAATATAGAATTTTACGTGAAACATCACCATGTGCAAAATGTGTAACCCATATGGGTAGTAACTTAAGGGTTATTCTCATAATAGCCACGACATCTAACATCAGCACTATGCTTGGATTAGTGCTTTGAAATCACTACTCAGCTGGTGTATTTATCCACTAGATACTGTCAGAACCCTGATGTCTCTTAACACATGGTTCAGGCAACAGATACAAACTTTCATGTCCAGGTATTTAGGAAGAAGCTCCAGTGTAACACATCACCTATTTCTCACATGTGAAGTTTATGCACAGAGATTTCTTTTGTCTTTGCTGACTGTGACAGATATCTATTTTCAGGACTGACACCAGTCTAAAGAGTTCATATCAGCTAGCAAGACTGGCTTCAGCTGTTACTCACATCTGTTCTTTTTTGTGGATTATCATCCAAGCTTATCACACATTCTTACACACAGGCTGTTAATAGAAAACATACATGCACTAAATTTATTTCCCTTTTAAAAAGCATTATATGATTTTCCTATGAAGTACACTTAAACAAAACAAACAACACAAGATTGGTTAAATACAGACACCCTGCAGCTCAAATAAATACTAAGAAAAGATGGCTCTACAGTTCAACTGCCTGAAAGGGCAACATGCTTTCAGGTTGCAGAAAGCGTACTGAGAAGGAACTCTATGTGATTTCAGTATGCTGACCTACCAGGCTGCGATGGGTCCCATCCACACTAGTGCCAGACTTCTGTGTTTTCAGTACATCACCATAATCTGCTGCATCAAAGTTCGTCTTCCACACCATCACCTGCAAGAGAAAGTTCGCCATTAAAAGTTTCCATCTACGTTTGCTTAAAAGGTCAACTTTGTCAACACATCAGAGTCAGCACATACACGCCAAAGCTGACCTAAGAAAGTTTTGCCACTGATTAAATTAAGGATGTTATCTGTAAATACGCTATTGAATACAGACATAGCATGGCTGTGTTCTCAGTGGGTAAGTGACCTCTTCCAACATTTCTGGTGTCAGGAACATCATGACACTAGAGTTACCTAGAGAACTTCAAAGCAACATGTAGAACACACCATTAAAACCACAAATATATTCAAATGCCATGGTTGGTATTATAGCACTTATTAGCCACACCCCAAACAACTGGTCACTGGTTTATCAGATTTGTTCACAGGAAAAGGAGAGTTAGTACTTTGAGACTAGCATTACAGATCTTTAGCTACTTTGTCACTTAAACACTATAATTAAGCCCTACCTATAGGCATCTTCTGCCCACAATGCAGCATTTATTTCCAAAAAGAGAGGCCTCTAACACATAAACCACTTCAACTCAGAACTAGCCAGGGGCAGAGATGATCGGCCCATCAGCACAGCCCACGATATTCGAAGGTGTACAAACAGCTGTGTTGAGATACCACCTAATTTATACCCCAGCAGCAGATGCCCCAAAGGCATTAACAGGGGCTGTATATAGAATAGTATTTCCCCTATTGTACATACCCGTTCCCAGATAATCCAGCTGAAGTGCTTCCTCACTAAGAAAAATCTAGGGTTAACATATCTCACCATCAAATACTTGTTTTCTCTTTGAAAGCAGCAAGATGCCTAGAAAACAGTAACAAAGCATAAAACTATCAAATTTTGCTAGTCACATACCTGCTCATCAGAACCTCCAGAGGCAAAAAAGTCTCCAGTTCTTGAGAAAGCTACACAGGTGGCTGGGCCCTGCAAGGGGATTTAAAAAAAAAGTGAGAAGGGTTACAAAGCTCCATTCATTAGAGCTTTACAAGGTATTTCTCATTTGATGTCAGCAGCCTAAAGGCAAAATCCAAAGAGCTCCTACCTGTCAGGTACGTGGGCCACAATTAACACGCGAAACCCACTGGCACACACTATTTCCCACATTTTTGCCCCCAGCCTAAGACATCCACTTTTCAATATCGATGGTATTAAGACAGGAACAAATCAAGTTTTACAGCTTCAGGCTCTTCCTTCCTCCCTCTCAATCATTCTCACTTCTTTAGAATTAGAAATACCTAAAAGTCCTGTTCATCTGTTAAAAGCAGCGACACTGTTTTGTTAAATGCAGCCTTCAGTTAGCCACCTGATAGAAAGGTCTAAAGTGGAAAAGGAGGTTTAGATACACACAGAGCAGCAAAGGGCATGTTGAGAAAGGTTGTTAGAAGTAAAATACCCTCACACCTCACAATTCCAGGCATTCACTAATCATAAGCCGTGTCCTACAAAAACAAGGTTTTTTAAAACGAATTTGAAGATGAAACCACCTTTCAGGCTCCAACTGTCAAACCCTCAGAATTTACATATTCCAAGCTCTTCCTCATGAAAACTAGAGCTGTGAAAGGAAAACACACTTAACCAAGATTTTCACATAATTATGGAAGTCCAAGGGCCAGAACTTCAAACATTACCCAGAATCTTCAAGACATTGACACCACAGGCCAACATATTTCGTGCACTGGATTGGCCATGGAAAATAACGCTCCACATGCTTTCCCAACAGGCTTTCTTTGAATATACACAGCTAAGGGACAGCATAAAACACACAATGATGAGAACAGCCAACAGGTAGGTTACAGGCAAGAAGCACAAGCATCAGTTCTGTCACAGAGGAAGAGGTTGTTGGTTTGGGTTGGATTTTGGTGTGGGGGTTGTGGTTTTTTTTTTTAAATATACAGCCACCACATACTCCCCTATATACTTCTAGGATATCCCATGCAAACTGCTCGCTGCAGGCAGACGCTCCTTACACCACCATTTGTCATATTTAAGCTACAGGCTAATGATCTATGCAGGTTTGTGTCAGTTGTCAGGTTTTTAACCAAAGAATGGAAGGCTGGCTTAAAACTGCTTTTCTCACCGTAGTTCCAGAGAAGAGACACCAGAGTTAATGCATTCAGGATCACCTTCGTATAGCACAGGCACGTGCATTTTGAAGAAGCCTTGCTTCTGAAACAGTCAGTTCTGGGAGACTTTGGTGATGAGAAACATGCATTTCCCACCACACCACCATGTTAATAACCTTTCAGAAAGCACGCAGGAGTACGCACGTGGGAAGGAGGCGGCACTGCGAGATGCAGTTGAACAGAGCTGGGAAATCATTACATGTGTTCGAGCACAGGCACAACAGACAAAGTGTTCTGCTTAGAGTAAACAGCTGAGGACCCAGGTAGCGACGTTTTGTCAGCTACTGAGCGTGTTCCTTTGCAGACTGTCCTACGCCTGAGCCTTTGCCCAAGCTGAAATGGGCAGAGGTAGGAACAAGCACTTCCCCAGAGGCTGCCTACGGCCAAGTTTGCTGGGAAAGCAAGCTGAACTTGTGACAAGCTGAAGGGAAAAAAAAACCACAACAAAAAAAACACCCCACACAAACCAAATAACAACTAGAAAAAGCCAAAGACCACCAGAAAACCCCACCACGGGAACACACACCTCCTGACAGAATTATCCTCTTTCAAGTAAGATCATGTATGTCAGAAGTCAAATAAGCTCCTCCTCACCCTGTATCAAGTTGCAAGGTCAGACTATTCCATCAAGAGTTCACACCTTCCCAATGGGCATTGCATGGAAGTCTCCCATCCAGTTTGTTTCTGGTTTCCCTTCTTTCCTCCTCTTTGTGAAAGCGAACTCAGCATTATAAATCCTGCAGGTAGGCCAATACCCACGGACTGCATGTGGGATAACCCCCCAACTCTCACTGCATCCTGTGTCCCACACTCCCGCGTGCTTTCAAATGTGTTGGCACAAGGTTTTGCCAGCAAAACTAGAGTCTTGATGTGGTCACTCCCAGCGTGGAAGTTCTAGCTTCCTTAAAACACATTATGGTATTTCCATATGATTGTTTCACCTGCAGTGATTTCAAAAGGCTTTAAGGCTTTCTAATAGCCACGTCTCACTCCAGAGATATTCCCAGAATAGATTTAGCAGCTACAGTTTCCAAATGCATGTGAAGTCATTAATGTGACTAAGCTTGTTCAACTAGCACAGCATTAAACAGTGCAGATACTTCAAACTCAAGTCACGGCCATCAGTGAGCTGGGACAAAGCATGCCTCTGCCTTCCAGTCCCACCCACCTTCCCAGCAGTTCAGCTCTGACCACGCTGCCAGGAACGGAGCCTCTCTAAAAGATAAATAAGGAAGGGGAGAAAGAAGTGGGTAGCCACAAAGCGGCAGTGGTGACCATTGCTCCAAGACAGCAGAGCCGGGGATGCAGGAGCTGCACTCTGACCGCAATGAACCGGGGAGGTTGGGAGGGCAGAACAGCCCACGTCCAGGGCATTGCTTCAGACAAAGTGTTCAGGAACGAGCACAAGTGAGGAATACTGGAAAGCAGCAACGTTTCACAAGATTATTTTTGTAAGCCATTAGGGTTTCAGTGTATTTAGACAAAACTTAGCACAATACAAATCACATCAAAACAGGCAATGAACTGACTCCAAAGTGACGGCATTCTGAAGGGGAAAAAGAGTTCAACAGAACATATTCCTCCCAAAATAGAAACTGATATCAAAGACTGAATGTGCTTTTATAAATTGAAAGAAGGGGAACAAACAAGTCTATAGACACAACATCCTCTACAGATTTGTTGACATAAATTAAGCGAAAAGTATTTTTGCTACGTACACTGACAGCGCTCTTCCCAGATGTAACAGGTTTGCTATAGCAACGTACAAATAATTGTTTGCCAAATACTTGCAGTTTAACATAAATACATAAAAATAAAGAGCTACAAATGCCAGTGATTAGACACAGCCTAACTCCCACTGGTTCCAGGTAAGCATGGCAGAGATCCAACAGGTTTCTGAAGCTGTCCTGGACAACAGGAACAAGGCTATAGGCTGAAGGATTCAAATCTTCCTTCAGAACTTTTTACCCTTTAAACTAACTGTTTCCATCAAAAGTGTCAGAAAGCAGCAGTTGCAGACTCTTCCATACATGTTGTAGGGAGAATTTTAAGCTAATTTGCCAGTAACTAAAACAAGTGTAATGCAGTAACCTTCTGAAGGCCTTCTTCATACTGTGAGAGGGCTGCAGAAAGTTTGAGGAGAAGTACAGAAGAGAATGAAACGACATCCACAGGAAACGCTGAGTGGGAAGAACGCTGCTGCGGATCAACATTCACCTCATCTCTAGTGAAAGAGCAGTACCAGGCAGGGTGGAGATAAGCTCCAGGGAGCCTTGAAAAGGACAAATGGCTCACACACTGGATGCAGCAAAGGAACAAAAAAAGGAAGCCATACAGAAGGAACGGTAACAGGACCAAACCTAGTCCTCTGCAGCAGTGATCCCACTGAACAAGAGTGGGCAAGGGCCAATAGCCATACCACAGCCACTGAAATGCCAGGTGACATCCTGCTTCTAGCTGCACACATAGGTAAGGAGGGTGAAGCACGGCACGTTACACAACCTAATTTATGCGCAGACTACTCCCCAGACAGAGATGATGCCTTCTCCTTGTTTCCCTCCGCTTCCTACAGAAGAAAGCTAGAGACCACAAGCCTTTGTTGCCCTAGCAATCCACAGGCTGATCAGCTTACACAAAACATTAAGTGTGGTCTTAGAAAAAGATGTTCAGCCCTATTAATGGCTTGGATGCATCCATTGCCTAGAGATGGGATCCAAAGCCAGGACACAGATTACAAGATGGAATGAGTGACTGGCAGGATGCTAATAGTAACAACTGACACACAGATAACAAGAGACAATAGGAATAGCATCCCTGGGCACAAACCTTCCCAAGGTGGAGCTAAAAATAGATCTCTCAAATACATAAGAGAAAGGCCAAGAGTTTAGGTTGAAGAAATGGAAATATGCCTGGAGCAAACAGTCATACCTGCACACAGAAAACAGATGAATGTGCACCATCTATAAATAATTCGTGGACAGTCAGAGAAAGCCCACTGGAGCACCATCTCCTCCACACAGAGCTGCTGAGGGACAGAAGGCACACGATTTCAAGAACAGCAGGGCCAACACCAACAGTGAATTTAAGTTAAGAGAGGCCAAACTCACGAGGTTCAGCTAGGAACAGAGCTGACATTTGGGCTTCAGCATAACAGAAGAAACAAAAGCCAGGCTGGAGAGGGTCCAGGAATAAGCCAGAGGAGAGTAGTTTAATGACGCACAGTCTGCACAATAAGAGGAGAGGTAGAGAGGAAGGTAGCTGGAGAGACAAGTGAGGTCACAGATGCCAGGAGATTTTTTTTTTCCTTTTTTATTTTTATTCCTGGAAGAACTAACATACAAGAGAAGAGCCAGGAAAGAGAGTAAGGGAGGTGCAAGGAGCTGGAACAAGGTGTGTCTCAGGGATGAGAATAATTTAATTAAGGGAGAGCTTCCTTTTCCGCTGCCCACAAAAGGAGATGTAGAAGTGGGAAGGTATGAGCCAGTACATTCAGTCAAACTCCCCTGGAGTAGATTAACTAGTGCAGAGAGGAAAAAGGAGACACAAGTGGTGATGAGGTAAGAAAAACAAACCTGAGACAGCAACAGGCATGCTAGGATTATCAGTTCAAGGTATAAAAGAAATAAACAGAGCAGTTATTGCCACTCCTCACAGTGCTTTCAACTGCTTCATGGCACAGGAGAAGAGGGCAAGTCACACTTGGACACATGGACATTGAAGTGACAAAGGGTAGAGGAGCAAAAGATGCAAAGAATAAGTGATCAAGACAATTAGGCAAACACCAAGAGCAGGTAAGAAACTCAATAAATGCATGAGTGCCAAAGAACGTAGAGGGCCTGAGACAAGATGCTGATGTTGTGTGACTTTCCCCTGTCACTTGGTTTTGGCAGCAGATAAAGCAGTGAAGAGAGTTCAGTGAAGATCAATTCACACGAACAGACTTCGGTAAAGCAGAAGCACTGAGCCTGTGTCACAGGATCAGTAACAATCTGCAGCAAGGAAACCCACGGCTATGAAGAACTATTCAATCTCATCAGAAAAGGTGAGTGACAATAGCAAGGACAGTGGGAGAAGAAAGCTGAATTCAGAGAAGACAGAGGCAGGAGGAAACACAAGGGGCAAGACAGGTGACAATTACACACTTGTTTCACAATCTGGTACAGGATGCAGTATGTATCCTGCAGAAGCAGCATCAGACGGGAAAGTCCAAATGTTAGAAAGAGGCAAGAGCTGGAAAACAAAAGCTATGAAAGCCATGGGTGTTTGTGGTCTTTTCACAAACATCACAGATACCCCAAAGATGACGTGGAGATGGGGAAAAGGTGTCAGGAAAAGGCACTGCACACTGGCAAACCAAGGTACAGGGCAGAGCTGAGCATTGTCCTCATGTGAGTGGGGATGGAGAGGAAAGCAATGAGGGCTGTGGAAAGAATCCACATCTCATGGTAAGGGCAAAAAAGTGCATAAATAAAAAGGGCAGATTCCTAGAAACTACACAGTGGGGTGATAACACAAAGGAGAGAAAGGGAGAATGAAAAGGAATCACTGAGAAAAGCACAGGGGACAGAGATGGCAAAGGCGACAAGGGATGTCTTCATGCAGAATACCTCTGACAAGGATTCTCAGCCCACTGAGCTCTGAAAAACTCCTGTATCACTTCACAGGCCAAGACCGTCATGCCTAGACCTTCCTTCACCGGGGAGTAAGGGCTCCAGCTAACACAGGGAAAGTTTATACTGGCACTTGGTAATTCAGTCTTGAGTGGGTTTTTAACCCCTGAAAGCTCCAGTTAAAGAAAAACAAACCCAAGGGAAGAACAGAGCACTCCTTTTAGTGCTCAGAAGCACTAATCTAAAAATCAATGGCTTATTGTTTGCAACACACCCCTTCTCTCCCTTTGCTGGTCCAGTTCTACACAGCCCTAAGATGTCCTCGCACCCTTCTACGACGACTAGGCAGAGGCAGGCACGGATGCTTGATACCACCTAGGTAGAGCTGGCAGCAGAGAGTGAAGGAGCACACTTGTTTCTCGTGCACCTGCTCGGAAGATCTTGCTCTTTAGCCAGCCAGCAAAGCAGAGCTCTTATGCCACTCAGGTAGTTGGAATGCAGCTCATTCATGGTTCAAACCAAGGTTGCTTGGAGAAACCTAACCTTACATTTTCTATCTTCCTATTTATAAACATAACCGTGCAGACGTTTTCCCAATGTTTACTGAGAACTTCCATTCCACTGCGGAAGCCAGTCTGGAAATGCTGTAGGCGAGCGGCCCCAGAGGGTGGACAGGCACTCTGTACATACCTGCGCTCCTCCAGCCACTCTCCGGAGGTGACTTACAGGCCCCAAAACATTCTGTTCTTTGATGATGATTCAGTACAAGGTGGACCTACGCACCGACCCAGCGTCTCATCTGTATGGAATGAGGCAAGAGTACTTCACAGCTGGAAGCACTGCAGAACCAAAATATGCTGCACAATACAGGATGATATTTCACAGCTGCAAGATGTCAGCTCCAAGCTGCAAAGTCCTAATGATCCTCCTGCTACAAGGGGGCCAGCTACATTACAGTTAAAGACAGCAATGTAAACTTGGCAATCCTCCCTAGGTAAACTACAGCTAATCAGCTGCTAACAAATTCCTGGCTCTCCAGCAACTGCGTCAAAGTATGTCTAAAGAACCTTCCGTTTTTTCCTTTGAGTGTCCACTCGCATGCAGCCTTCCCAGAGCAACAGAACAGCAGTCAGAGTAAGAGCAAAGTCCCCATCACCATAGTCACGCGCAGAGTTGCAACTCAAGAACGTCTTCAGAACAGGCTGTTCATTTGGTGACTAACCTATAGTCCTCCCTTAAAAAAGTAAATCTACTTACTGACCAAAAAAATCCACTCCCACATAAATTTTAGGCACTTGGAGACACTGGCAGAAATCACGGTGAGGCTGGAGGGAGAGGAAAAAGCCCTCAGAATTAATTAGCCCGGGTTAATTAGCACAGCAGGCTAGAGAAATGCCAGTGCAGGAATCCACCCTAGCAGCTCCTGATGAAAGCGGGGACTGTCGTCACTGCCAGTCGCTTACTGTGAATGAAGCACAGGTTAGCACATGCTGATCCTGAGCAAGTAAGGGATCTATCAAATCGGGTATTAGAAGAACCAACCCACACCACAGCACACACCGGCAGAGGTTCTGGCATTGCTTCCACAGCCACCTCAGTGCAGTGCCTTAAATACAACCAGAAAGCAGTATCAGCCACTGCGATACTTTTACTTGTTTCCAAACTGAAGGAGGTTTAATCCCACCACGGCAACTACCCTTCACCTCCACCAGCGTCAGAGCATTTCCAAGAGGCCTAGGGGAGAGTGGCAGATGTCTCCCTGATTCAAGGGAGGAAAGAACAGAGAGCTTAAACTCCACTTGTGAGCAGATGATTCACAAACCAACTGTTTTGTAGGAGCCCCGAGTTATGTACAGCATCAGCCTAAAGGGACTTCCTGTTGTCTAATTCTGAAGACCTCCATCACCATAATCAGGTTTGGACTCTTGTTCAAAGCAAAACTCTTTGTGTCACTGCACTTGTCAAGGAGCCACTTGCAGCCCAGAAGGAAGGAAAATGGACAGGAGGTCCAGCCTCCTGATGAATAACCAGGTACATCCCCTGCTGAAGCATGGATGAGGGATGCAAAGACCCACTGGCCCTCCACGCTTACCCTTTTCACAGAGCTACTTCCTAAGCACCCACTTGGCCAACTAACATGAGACATGAAAACGAGATTAGGGCAACAGTTAGAAGCTTTGCAGCCCTTATCTGTTAGGAATATCCACTTAGTCCAAAGTGAGGAAGTTTTATTCAGTCAGGGTTTACGTGTCAGTATAGCCAGCATTTATTATCTTTAACCCTTTTTAGCATTTGAACCCTTTGGTCAGTTTTAATGCTCTGCTTCATGGGAAGATGTGATTTAAGTATGACGTTGTCCTGTTTAACCATTAATATTACCAAAAAAAAAAAAGGACAAAAGTTTAACAACACACAGTATAAATAGAAGTTACAGAACAAATTTGACCTTTTTAGACATCAAAGCAGTCACTAAACAATGCCACAGGAAGTCAGAACTGTCAGGTTTGCAGCTTACACAGCTACCATTATTGCCCAGAACCATCTTCACCACCCCCACATGGCTTCAGGCTGTGCTTTTTTTCCCCCAGCTACTTTTAATGCTTTAAGACTCAGCCCCCATTTTAACAGAGAGACAAGCAGGTTAAGAATTTGTTCTCTTTGTCCCTTTGGAAAGAGAACTTTTAAAGCAGGTCTGCTTTTTCATGCCCCTGAGCCCCACTCAGCACAGACAATGAAATTAGTCTATTTATTTTCATTTAACATTTAAAAGAGAGCTCCAAACATCTATATAATTAACCTTACAAGCAACACATCCAGCAGCATAATACTAATAGGCTAATCAGTTAAACTGAACCAACCAGCAGCATTCATCACCTTCAATTATTCAATTCAAACTGTGAATAAAATGGAAACATGTTCCCAAATCACATCCCAAAAATATATTTCCTCCATTTTACCACTACTGTCCCTAAGTTGCCCTCAGGTGAACAGCATTTATCTTCATAACACTTCAGTTAAGGGGCCAAGTGTTACTGGCACCACCCTAGAGAGGGAGTCAGAGCTGTGGTACTGAGGGTGCCTGACAGACCCAGGGTTAGAGTCTGGGGTGCCGCTCAGACTGTGCGCCTCAGGGCTTAGGCTCACATCCCTCAACGCCGGAGCTCCCTTTCTGCCTGTTTTCTCACCCTCTCCATTCCTGCCTTACCTCCTTCCCTTCTCAACAGTCACAATCTCAAAGATTACTATTAGTACTGTCATCATCATTTCATGCAAGGAATTTTTTAGAAGATTTTTGGCCATGAAGAATGAAGAGCTTGAGCCCAAAATTTTCCCAGTTTGCCATGGGTTTGTACATTAGCATGTAAAAGGCTTTGTCTCACCTGGTGACCATGAAGAGTATACAGAAGTCTTCCTTCTAGCAAGTCCAGAATTTTAAGAGTTGAATCATTGGAAGCAGTAACCAGATAGTTTCCAGAGGGGTGAAAGGAAAGACTGTTTACCACAGCACTGTGCACTGAAGATGGAAAAAACATCATTACATGGTAATCTGAGACCACTTTACATGAGCCCACAGCAAAGGAATAAAGTACAAGCACATTGCAATTTTCTGTTCTAAAGTTTAACAGGAAAATGATCACGGGGGAAACATTCCATAAGAACTCTTCAAAGCATTGGAGAACAAGGGCAGCATTCAATTCTTGTAAAAATAGGCACTACTTTATTGAAAGGAAAAAGAAAGCTTTGCCAATTATTCCTGGAGGGTTAAGACTACAAAAGCTTCCAGTGTAGCCCCCAAAAGTAACTACGTGAGGAACTGAGCTATGGGATACTCAGAGTGGGACACTGACAGACGTTACTACCGTGGAGCTGCTGATCTCACTCCCAGGTGATTCTAGAATAAAATCTACATGCTGGTACCTTAAGAGGACTGAAATTATCCTGAAAGACAAACTCAGAGTTGGCATTGCACAGGTTCTTTTGGTTTACTATCTGACTCTAACCAAGACAGAGTTCAGAGAAACTAGGTAAGAACCACCAGCAACTTGGAAATGGTCCAGCATGAGCATTATTCCTTCAGACACCCACTTCACCTCACAAAAAAAACTTAAAATGAGTATGAATAGACAAACTATCAAGAGTGTGAGCTTCCAATAAACCAATCCTTTCTGCATGGTGATGAAGCCTAAGAGTTATTGTGAAAAGAGTTAAAAGCAAATGCTCTAGGAAAAACAAACTACATTATGTTCTTTGTAACATTAAACATCTACCTAATGCAGGGCTTTTTCCCCTCCTCCCCAAATTTTATAAAAACAGCTACTGAACATATTTATGAGAACATGCAGTACTTCACATATGCACAGCTTTCTGAGCATATGTGACGTTACAGAACATTAAGACTATGCTTGAAGATCGTTTTAACTACCCCATTATTCTTCATTGCATGCCCTTCAAATGTTCTGGTATCTCAAATCTACTACTACTAGTACATCCCCCATAACTACATTTATATTCCCTTGAGAGTCTACTGTGCATTTCAAATCCAAACTGCATGATAAAACTCCTCCAAATACAATTTTAAAGATGCTAGAACCAAATGCTATCTTTTGCAGATGCAGACTTGAAGCCAAAATCTGAAATAGTCTTGCTTGACTGTAAGACAGGACGCATCTACTTTTTAAACTCTCAGGAATACTAGATACCTCAGCTTAAATTCTGAGAATGCAACTCCTCTTGATCTGGACTGTTAAAAAAACAAAAGAAAACCATAACTCAACACAGGTAACTTCTCAACAGTGATGCTTGTTGGTGAATACTCCTCTGTCAGACACCCAGATCTTCCTCCAGCCCTGTGTTACACTGTGCATTAAAGGAGAAAGTCCACATGGGGTTTTTCCTCTGGAAAGAAAAAAATTGAAAATTTTATTCTGAGTGGTTTGTAATACTCCTCATCCCATTACTGTCTACATTCAGAAAAAGGCAAACATATTTTGTCAACTAAGGCAAGTCCTGAAAGGACTCACACCAGAAGCAAAGTTAGCGATATATCCTCCAAGTTCCAGATAGTGAAAAAAGCATTTCCAGTTTCACCAAAACACCTTTTCATAATGGAATCACAGAGACTGTGGCTGTGTAAGAAGCTGCAGCTACTGCGCCAAGGAGTTCTTGGCTGTCCTGAGCTCAGAGAAAACTTCATCTCTTCTCTGCCAACCCAGCTTACACCTCCCACGAGACCATTCACAACACCTCTCCAAGAACTTGCCAACACGTCCTGCAACCTCACTTTATTTCATGTTGCAAACAATAAATCCAGTGCAGCACAAGTGGCATCTCCCACTGACTTGTTGCTCCAAGCCTACCCCTCTGACAGCCAAGCCCTAGGAAAAAAAATGGCCATTTAGGGGGCATATACTGGGGGGTTAATTGCTAAAATTGAGTCATGGCAGCCGAACGACTGACTGAACATAACTGTCCCAAGTCTGGCAATACTACTGTTATGTAATTGGGGAATGCAACCTCTTAAGAGCCAGCAGTCAGAAGATAAATCAGGATGGATTTGGCACAGCCACAGTTCCTAGTGAACAGATAACCACCATCCAGCCCCATCCAAACTGTCCAAAAGTACCAACTGCACTTTTCAAACAGCAATTAAAAAAAAAGGTTAGCGCTGTTTCTACAGACCTGCAGAGGTACCCCCACACACACCTCTGCACAGGAAAAAGTCTCGGGCAATAAACACTGGCCATTTTTACAGAAGGATGATCCGATGAACAAAAAAAGTTAACGCCAAGTAGAGGGTTGAACAAAGCATCTGTCTGTTCCCCTGTACCGTAAGTGTGACCAGAGCATACTTTGCTGAATAACACGCACACACCCCGTACAATAGATGTTGCAGTCAGCTGTCTACTTCCAACTTCCATTTACAAATGTCACTGTTGGAACAAGTCCCAGCAACAAGAGCAATGCTGCTAAAAGACTGATCAGTTCTGGAAAACAACCCAACTTGAGCACTCAAGAATCTGTGGCAGGGCTATGTATCTATTTACTCCTTGATGCAACTCCATCTTTAAAATGGATTTCCTTGCAATCAGGCAGCGTAAGCATGTTCCAAGTGAAGAACTGCTGTCTAGTGGGACAGATCTAGTGGATTTCAGGGTTTCTTTGGCTTTTAGAACTTTTTAGTTCAAAGTTCTAACACACAATTAGAATTTACACAGTAGCTGTTAAAAATAACACTCATAACAGGAAAAGATCACTTTGATAGCGAGGGTGTCAGAGTAAAATGCCATTCAGCAAGGGTGGGATACAGGGGAAATATGTAACTCCAAGACAAAAAATAAACCTGGCAGCCGACCTAAACAACATTAGATTTAGACAATTTAATAGCAGTAAGTGGAAAGCAGGAAGAGATGATTTTTGAGCCAAGTTATAGCATGGCTGGAAACACCCACTGCAGATCTTGCCACTGTTGAAAAGCTGATAAAGTAGGTTAAAGGACAATCTGAAGCTGTTCAAGTATTTCAACACGCTACCTATTTTAGCAACAAGATTTCAGAAAGGCCTTTCCAAACTTTGATAGGAAGCTAATAATACTCATTGCACAAAGAATCGCACTTCAGTATTCACCATTGTAACTGCACCAGCTGAATGCCAATGCATTGGAACAACAGTCCTCAAAAGGTTTGATTTCCATTAGATTTTGTTAACTGTCAGAGAACTGGAAGTGATGGTGAGTCCATAAAAATAACTGAAGAAATTTTTTTAAAAAAGGCACATTCTGTGGGAGTTCAAGGAGCTCAGGCAGTTTTACAGTTGGGAGTTCAAAGCACTTGACTTGACTACACAGGGAGAATACCTGTGGGGAGGAGAACCCCGCATTTAAACGCCAGAAATAAAACACAGTCTAGGAGCAGGGAGCTGATGCTAAAAATAAGGAATATGGTTTTTTTCCTACCCAAGTAAAAAGCTTGTTCCAACAATGGTGGTGGCACCGTCAGTGCTTGATAGTCAGATCGGATGATTGTAATGGCGTTTCCAGCCATACACACCGAGCGGAACGTACAGCAGAATTCCAAAAGCATTCTGAAGTTTGCAGATTATTTCTACTCCACAGCAACGTTTTTGGGGAAGCTTTTATTTATTTTTTATGTAACCCAAAGGGCTTTTATAATCTTAATAGCTGCAGACAATCTGCATTTGCTTTAATATGAGTAACTGCCATTGCTCTTGTCTACCAGAAGTAGTCTAGTCTTTCACAGGTTGCTGTTGCTCCAAGGACAAGCTAACCTGGACAAGTCATGTCAAAGCTAAATGTGGAGCTGAAAACCAAAGGACATACTGGAAAAGGAGAAATCCGAACAGAGGTATTTCTCACCAAACGTGGAATCAGTTTTGGAGCTAATACAAAGGAAAGCATAATGTTTGGTGAAAAAACAAAGGCCTACACTAGGAGGCCTAACCCAGTGCCTTTCTGGAAAAGCAGCAGGTGACGGAGAAAATCCCTGAACTTCAGAGCGATTCATGTCAATACAGAGAAAGTGCTGACTTTTCTAAGATCTTAACTTGCCTTGATAATGTTGGAGAAGTCTGTTCATCCTAACGTCCCACACCTTCACCGTGCTGTCTGTGCCAGCCGCAGCAATGCACGTACCGCTGGGATGGAAATCCACGTGATTCACAAACCTGTCAACGGCAGTTCAATCCAACTGGTTACATTCAGCTCTCACTAAAGATCAAAAAAGGTCTTTTCAAGAAGGGAAGCTACATCATGATGCATCAAACACTACAGAAAGGAGGAGAGAACCTGAAAATTGAAATCACTAAATTTCTTTCGAGACCTTGCTTATAACCCCAAGTGGACTGCAGGATTTTCTCCAGGAATCCCGTTTTCAAAGTTCTGCACTACAGGTGTAGGAGCCGTAGATACAGGCATCCTGCAATCTGATGGATCTGTCACAGCATCTTCAAGTGTTCATTAAATGTTTGCATAATCTATATCTTCTATTAAATGAAGAGGATTTCTAGAGTGGGGTGTACCACACCAAACAGATGCTTTCTTCCTCTTAGTCTTAAAGAATTTTAAGATGGAATTTACCAAATTTGTGCCCAAAATCATATGTTGTCACTTACAAGGTAGAAAGGCTGAGACCAAATTCCCTTCTGGACTTGTATGCAATCTATATTTTTTTTGAGCACACAAGTACAGTAAACCTTCAGAACCTTCAGTGAAGAGCACCTCTTAATTCCACACCCAATCCATGCAAGAAAATGGGTAAAATACCCTTTGACTATTCATCTAACAATTGACAAAACTCAAGGGGTTGAGTCTTGCAACAGCAGCCAAGGAAGCTGAGACATAAATTCATTGTTTGGACAAGGTATACTCTATAAAGCACTGACAAAAATAACGCTGTCTGAATTGGCCTTAGTATCATCGCATATTCCCTGGAAAAAACAGCTTTGTACTTAAATCAGTGTAGCAAGACACTAGGAAGATCCCAGTCTCACAGTTCTCTACAGTCTTGTTCTGTGTTTCTGGACAAATGAACTTTTGCTGTGGCTCAATATTCACCATGAAAAAAAAAAATCCCAATTCAACAACTGTCTTTCTGAATACTAAGTGTTTTATGGAATAACAAAGCTATTGCAATGTTTGAGGCTGAAACAAAGCATGCAAGTACCAACTTGTCAGTACATTTCTGCTCTTCTAGTTTACTGCAATTCAGAGTAAAATAAAAAAGCTTAACATAGCTAGAAGAAGAAAAAAAGAACTTAAGCATCTCCAAAAATAAATAAGCATAAAGAAAGTGAGGCCTGGCATGTTGGACAATTATCGAAATGTAACCCTCAAGGTTCCAATCTGTACAAGTTGTAAGAAGGTGACAGCAATTCTGGAAGCTCTGTTTGCATCTCGTCCTCTGCTGGCCACTTCGGTAATAGGCACTAATGATTTTTTTGAGAGGTAGAAATAGAAAGGATAAGTAGATTTGACTGCAGTCACAAAACCAGGTGTACAACCACCAGGCATCCCCATTTCCGCAATCACGAAGGCCAGCCTCATGCACCAACGCGTACTTACCCCCCATGCTCACAGAAGGAGTGTATGCACTCTCTGCTGGTTTTGTCCCACAGCTTGACAGTTTTATCATCACTGGCTGACACTATTAATCGCCCGTCAGGAGAGAACCTAAGACGAGAGTCATAGCCATTAAGAAATGCCCTCAAAAGGTGTATAGGGTCAGCTGGATTTGGCCAGCTGTCAAGGCACATTGGTAACACACCTCACTCAAGTCACAGCCAGCATCAGCAAGGCCAAAAATCCAATCGCTGCAAGTTGAAGGGAAAAAAGCAAGCCTGAAGTCCTCAAACTATTCCCCAGGCACATAATAACCCTCAGAAAAGTCTTCAGTCTGACTTCAGATCTCCCATCCTACTTGTTTCAATTTTAAGTGTAACTCTTGCTGTTTCTGTACCCCGATTCAAAACAATTCCCACCTTTGCCATAAGAATTTACAGCAATATAATTACTGCCAAGGTAACAGCTGCAGCAGGACAAGCTTCATCATTCAAGTGCCTTAGAAGAACGCATTAAGACCCTGCCTCAGAATTTCATATACAAGACAGATCAGTAGGCGTAGATTTTACAGGACTTGAGTCCCTAAGTGGAGAACATCATCGTACATACCGGAAAAACATTCTTTCTGCTCTACTGTGGGCACCTACAGTACTACCAGCCACAACCACCATCATGGTCAAGAACTTCTCACCTACAGAGAAATTGTGGCTTTACCCTAAACACACATATATACATAAAAATCCCTGAGAACAACCAAGACGGACAACTGAAAACCAAATCTGAGACACTTATCAGGAAATAATGTTTTTATTATGGCAGCACCTTCAGCACTTTGTAAGGAGCTCAGGTGACCATTTTTAACTAGAGGCATGACAAGTATAAAAGTAATAGGCTGAAATAACAATTTATTAGGCAAATAACAATAATAGATCTCTCAGTTTGCTTCTGTTCGCAACTTAAGTCTCCCTACCAGGTAAAAGCAAATCACTAAGTAGGAAAACTTCTGCTTGACAAAGGTCACTGAATAAACACAAAGTGGGTACACAGCTATTACCCGCAGGATCTCTCTGCAGGTTAACACCACATTTCAGTCACTAGGCACCCTTGAATCATCCTCAACAGAGGTGTGTTACAAAAGGTAATGGTGCTCAGTCTCTGCTGTGAGGAATAAACCCTCACCTCTGTTTGTCAGAAAGCTGTACGTACCTGGCACAGCGAACCCAGTTTATGTGTTGACTAAGTGAGAATAGAAACTTCTGCCTGTGAACTGTCCACACCTTGACTGTTTTGTCATCAGAAGCTGTAACTAAGGACTGGCCATCGCTGGAGAAGTGAACGCTTCTTACAGTTCCCGTGTGAGCCTTGAACACAGTAGATTCTCCTTTGCTGTACAGAAGGAAGAAATACTTTAAAACCATACAATAGGACAGCAAGGACATTATGTACCTGGAAACACAAAGTGGCTGTATGCTGAGCAGTGCTGTTGACCAACACTTCTCTGGGAACTGCACGTGGTTACATTGGCAAAAAAAAAAGTTGATCAACCCCAAATAAACTCATGTTTCAGGTGTTATACAGAATACATAGCTAAAACCAGTTGTTCCAGTTCAATCCGGGAGCCCAATCCAAACAATCCCCTATGCTACAACCATTTAAAACAATGTTTATGGAAACATCACTATAAAAGCAGATGCTGAGATTCTGTACTGTTACCAGATCTTGTGCTGCAAGGCGGGTGAGGAGGACGGTAAGCGTGTTCACACTTCATCCAGACAGAGACCAGCAGGCAACTACCTTCCAACTATTGTAACGGGCTGTACTCCAGCCGAACGCTTCCGACGGAGCGTCACACAAGAAATAACGTGACTGAATTCAGCACGCCTGGTGTTGTACAACACTGAGCAGGCTGCCATTAACACAGGCAGGCAAGACCAAGGACAAGTTTTTGTTAATCCTTCTTTACCCATCATTTCCAAATAAATGCAAGAGGCATTCTTCTGGCAGATAAACTCAAGGCGTATTTAGAGATCCAAAGAGCCATATATTTGGAGATCTAACAGGTACATGGGAGTCTTGGTCCAAAATACATCTTCAGTGGGAACTGTACAAACAGAAGCTCAATACTGACAGAAGAGGACAACAGAAAGACACAGTGGTTTGCTTTCCTCTCCGTTAAGAGCTGCAGCCTACCAAAACTACCAAACTGTAAAGGCCAAAAAATCAAAATGTCAACATACCCTCCAGCAATATTCCCTCCCTCCTCAGAAAAGGTCAGAGCTGCCTAGTTTTATTTAAATATTTACCTGCCAGAAGGCAAGGAACAGTAAAGGTTACTTCTCAGGGAAGTTTTCTTCCTGTCCAAAGCCACAGAACATCCCAAGTCTGATGAACACTCATGTAGAAACATGAATTTACAAAATTCTGACAGCATGGCTGATAAAAAAAAACAAATCCCAGAGACAGAAATCCACACACCCATGTGGCATTAACTTCCCCAGTAACACCTCACCCTTGAAAGGGACTGCAAGTTTTTGGATTCTTTGCAAATAAAGTCCCAGCCCACAAACCGACTGTGGGACAGCTTCTCCCTTCCCTTCTAATGACGGTTCAAAACTGACAAGCTGAACGTCTACAACCCGATTCAACCTCCGTGCTCTCTTTTCTTCCGTCTAGGGAAGGTAAATTGCCAAAGAACACGAAGCACGGATGAAGTGCCATGCGCAGAGGCATCCACAGCCAGTGTAACAACAGCAGCTCCCTTTCCACACCAGCCCTCTTCTGACATTACGTCACAGGTACCGTTTAGACCAGAGCTCACACCCCTAAGCAGCCAAGACAGAATCAGCCAATACATCATTTAAGTTCGGTATTCTCTATCACATCCCAGTCTTGTCTTTAAGTTTATACATTAGCTCTAAGGAATCTAACAAGTCTGCGCTGTAAATTATTCGCAGCACCCTGTGTCAGCAGCACAGCTCTGGACAGCAAGCTGACACCGCCAGTCTCTTCCTTGATAGGAGACGCATGAGCAGCAAGATTAAATTTTAATCATAATCCACTGTGTGCCCTTTATTAATATATATGCTACCATGTCATTGTCATTATTTCTTCCAGGAAATTTTAACTAAACAGAAATACTGGTAATTGAAATTACAATCTGCAAATTGTAGTTAAAATATTTAAAGTTAAGATATTTAAAAGCACTTCTATATCAGTTCTTTAAAAGTCACTTTCAGAACCTATCAGGTCTATGGCTGTTATCACTTATGGTTTAACAGATCGGATAAAGTTTCCAAGGGGTAATCATAACCAGAATAGCTCATCCACAATAAACAGCTAGAAATGCTTTCCCAGGTTCCTGAAGTGACAGGTTTATTTTAAAGTTGGAGTACAGGTTTTTTTGGGTTTTTGGGGGTTTTTTAAATCCCTATTATTTGCCACCAGAGTCATCAGGTCTGCTCCTGGAGACAATCCTTTAGTCTTCAAGAGCAAGAATTCACAAGCTCACAAATGAGGGAACCTCAAATACCTTTTTATATGCCTGTCCCTTCAGAAAAAACAATCCCACTGAACCGTGGGAACCAGAGACCGAAGAAAAGACCGGCAGCTGCTTTTCTGCATCTTGGCTGCAAAGGCTTCTCATTACCTGTAGCAAAATTAAGTCCTCAAGCAGAAGTTCTTCAGCACACTCTTGTTTGTGCTTTATTTCAACTATGTGTCCCTTGCGGAAGACACATCACTTAAAACAACCCATCACAGATTGAAACAACAGAAGTCACGAGGTCTCTCAGCCCATGACTGCCAAGGACTTGGCAAGCGGTCATGAGCTAAGGCAACTAAACCCTCTACTGAAAAATGGAAACTCCATAACTATACCTTAAGATGGCAAAGGTGCTGAAAGGGTGAGTAAACTCATGTTAATCATAGGCAAACTCATAAAAAAGTCAATACACAACCCAAAGTAGCCTTATCTTCGTAACACACCACCATTTGCTATCAACGTAACACAGAGTTACTAGTTTTGGCCCAAGAAATAAGGATTAAAGGCACCTTGCAGCTTTGTTGACTACAGCAAGCATGCAGGCTAGCAACCTCCACCCTGCTCACAGAACAGGTATCTCCAACACTAAACCTCAGCTTGTGTTTCAGCATCTTGTTTAACACTGACAGAGCAGCAGAGGAACAGTTTGCTAGGAGGAAAGACCCGGGGAGGAAGGGGAAAAAAACCCCAACACTTCACCACTGATGAGTTACATCAGTGACTCGTTTCATTAGCACACTTAGTCAATACTAACTTTAAGCTCTGCCAAGGATTTTAGGGTTTTTTTTCCAACACAGTTCCAAGATAACTCTATTTTTCCAACACAGCTTCAAGCTGCCACATAAAATGGTTCTTCTTCCCTTCAAATAGATGCAAGTGTCATACCTGGAGAGCCACTGTCAAGAAGCAAGGAGAAATCCCAATCCATAGTTAAAACACAGAGGTAGAAGGAAATAGATACTCACACACTAGGAATCCATAAACGGACTGTTTTGTCTCTGGAGCCTGAAGCCACCAGGTGACCGGAAGGTGCAAAGTGAACACACATGACCGCATCTTTGTGGCCCACAAAGCGATAGGCTCTCATCTGAGGTCTCATACTCCAGATCATCAGGCACGAGTCCATCGAGCCACTTGCTGAAATTAAACAAACAGCAAACCAATTCTGCATTAATTCTCCTCCAGTTACACTGAAACTGCATTTCACACTCAATTCACCATCACAACTTCCAGCAATCTCAAGCACATTGTCCTTTAAGCTTCACCAATGCATTGCAAACTGTGTATTTCACTGGAAACTCAAAGTCATGCCTTGGCTTGGACTGACAATTCTACTCCCAAGAGTCAGCTCATGCAACAGCTGCAGAGGCAAAAGCCACACAAGTTGTAAAACTTCTTCCAGACAAATGCACGCTAAGGAAACACATAGCAGGTCTGAACGAAGGGTCTCCCGTCACTTTTATTGGGAAGCAAAGGCAGCTATCTCCTGCGGCAGGTTAAATATCAAGTAACACACTACAGATTAAGCAGAGAATCCCTGTGAGTCACTGACTTACAGGCAACCCAGCTGCATCCCCCTCCAATGCCTCTCTTGTTGCAAAACACTTATCAAAGCCAGCTTAATGATTTATGAAAAATCCAAGCTTACGACTAGATCAGAACAGCGTTCAGTTTGCTATTAGCAGGAAGGGTCAGCAGGACTTGATGAGAGGCTTTAAGGAACTACAGATGGAGATGGGTCACTCCATCTACTCACACCTATACTCACATCTGGAAAGAAAACCCACCCACCAGTCACCACAGCCTGCTGCACTTTTGGGCTTCGGAGAAAGGAATGGAAGAGGGAAAAGGCATGCTCCAAAGAACAAGAAGGAAAAAGGTTTAAGAGAGATGCCAGAGTGCAGAGACTCTACTTACGGGAAGGCAGCCCTCCCCCAGGCCAGATGCTGCTTTTAAAAGACCTCCCCCAGCAGCAAGAGCAAAGCATGGCTGAACTGGAAGGCAGAACTCGGGCACATTGCGAGCACAACTGACAACTCACCCCTGATGCTGAGCTTCATACAAACTACAACCCTCTCCCCAGTTTTCCATTATCAGTCCCTGCCAGGAATACCAGGCAAAAGGTTTCCCAAACATGAGAGCAAATCCCACTTCAGTCAAGCTCCCCTGCATCAGCACCTCTGTGCAGTCCCTTAAAGCCCAACGTGCTGTGCGCAGCCTACTGCAGTGGGACTCTGGAGATTTGTAAAAGAGCAAACACGTGCCCCTGACAACTTACAGTCTCCAACTATGACAGCAGAAATACCCCTTCAAATCAATTTTAATGCCTAAATAATAGAAACCATTGGAGATTTTTCCACAGGCGAATACAGAACATACACATGGCCTGCCAACAAGCTGCATCTACCCGAGTGCCAAGTGGGGCATTTCTCCAGGGAGATCTTAAGATGTTCCTGGAAGAGAAAGACCAGTTTGATGGCAGTTTCTGACATGGCAGCGTCATAATTACAAGAATTTTTCAGTTCATTAGCATTATGACAAAATACCAAATAGCTTTTGCTGGAAGTGTCCTTCTAGTTCAGAGTCATTTTCACACAAATAACAGTCATCTCCTTCCCTGCTATCGATTTGGGATTAATATATGCCCATTTCAAACAGGGCCATTCGGTACACCTGTCCCCAAAGGCGAAACAAAAAACCTTACATATTTGTCAGTTCAGTTGTTGGGTTTGTATTTCATACAGACAACACCCCGCCTTAGGGATACACAAATTCAAGATGAGACAACTGTGTACAAGCAGACTGAGCACACGGCCTAGTGTCAACAGGTTTGAATGTTAGTCATACCTTCGTTCAGTCACTGTCCGGTAAGGATATCAGGTTGCAATGATACAGCTCCCCTGGGGTTGATATTAAAAAGTTTAAGCAAAATAATGCTCTGACATCTCAATAAAACACTTCAGTATTATAGTGTTTGTCTGTGACTTACTGGCAATAGCTATTATCCTTACTGGACTGAACAACCAATCTAACGAAATTAAAAGACTAAGTCCTCTAGGTTTGGTCTGGGTTTCCAGGGAGATGGAATTGGGAAAAAAAAAACCTTAGCATCTCATAAGAGTCAAGTACACACAACTGACCCAACAGTACCTAGAAAAGAGCAGTTCTTAGCATTTGTTCCCTTTCTTGCCAGATCTAATTTACTAAAAATATCAAGAGCTATTATTTCATGGTGCAGACGGAGGAGACAAAGGTCCCCATAGCACCTCTGAAGGGCCATTCACAAGCAGTGCTAAATTACATCCCGAGCACCCTTGCTAAATAGATCTGCACTGAGTGGACAAAGTTTGAGAGATGCACAAACAGCATCACCGACAGAGCAGAGGGCACTCTTGCTCTGAAACTGGAGACAGAGAAAGCGGAAGGGAAAAGATAGCAGACAACAATAAAAGCAGCAGCAAAGAAGAAGGAAGAGGGTCCAAGACAAATTTGATACATGTTCGTTTCCTTGCAGCTTCTAGAGAGTTCTGTAGGTTGCAAGATCCAGAAAAGGATTGCCACCTGCTAGGCCACAGTATTTCTATTTACTCATGCCCACCACATATATTGCCTCAAACTATCATTTCTGCCTTCTCTGTGAGCCAAAACAATGCCCACCATCTCACACAGACTGAACTGCAACTTCTTTAGGAGCCAAAAACTCTCCTGGCTCCTACTCAATGCACGCACAGCAGGTTACTGAACAGCAACTGGGACACAAACCTTGGCATAACCATTGGCAGCTGCCCAAAGGGAGAAATAGAAGATGAAGAAGAAAAAGTAAGCTATTACTGCAAGTTTAATTCATGGTATGGAAAGGTAGGTGAAGTGAGAAACAACAAAGATGTCCCTAAAGCTCTAGCAGGATGCACACAATCTGCCACCCTTACGGTTCAACAACAGGATTTTTTTCACTGCAAATGTTCATCCTGAGATTCCCAAAAAAATCTTGTCATCATGAAGATATGTTCTTTGCTCTTGTAGAACTCAGTACCTCCAAAGCTCCCTCTGTTTAACTAAGGGAGAGAAGCTCTTTTTGTATACTCTGGCCATCAAAACACAGAGAGAAGATTTACCCAGTTGTTTCTTATTGGGACTGAAGTCCACACTAGTGATAGCATCTCTGTGACCTTTGAAGTGTCTCTCCAGGGACGGGTCTTCCTAGAAAACAAGAGTTTTCAGACACTATAGATTAAAAACCATCTTGGTACAATAAAACCATTTTATTTTTACAACAAGCTGACCAAGACACATAGTCACGTATCAAAAAAACTAAGAGCGAGATGTTAGCCAAGCTGATGCCACCCTTGGGTCTTAGCGAACTTGCACAAATAACTTGTATATTTTGACAACATGCTCCTGGTGCAGAAACCCCAAAGTTGAGTTTGGAACAGATCAGCCATGTCGATGACCACCTGAGCAGGCAGTCAAGCTCAGCTTCGCTCCCACAGCTGCTCATGTCAGCCCAGGGGTAGCCAAAAGGCCACTGTTTGCACAGAAGGGACAAATTTGCAAGTCTTAACATGCCTGTCTAAATGGACAGGTAGAATCAGAACTGCAGCAAAACAGTTCTGCCATTCCCCTATAGCTGGGGAATGCAGCAGAGCACCTTGCTGCCAAGGCCAAGCAAAGCCTGACGTCAGGCAAAAACCAAACAAAACCAGCCACAAACAAGCAAAACACTCAAGAGGTTGTAACAGTTAAAAGTTGTCCAGAGTTCAGAACAGGCTGACCAGTCTTCAATCCCTGCTCCTGGCAACACTCATCACAGCCTGCTCCCCCTCAGGACTTCACCGCAGCCCCAGCCTGCTCATACAAGCACCCAGCCCCAAAAGAACAGGGCTGACGTCGCCCCACAACACCCAGCACCAGCCCTCCCCAGGTCTAGAGCCTGACCCCCAGCTTAGACGCTCCCACACACACAAACACCGTCCAATCCCACTTACAGCCCCAGAAAAACAGGGCTGACGGCCCCCCACAACACCCAGCACCAGCTCTCCCCAGGTCTAGAGCCTGACCCCGCACTTAGACATGCCCACACACACAAACACATCCCAATCCCAGTTGTTACAGCACTCCCCAGCAGCACTAAGCCCCTTCAAGGCCAGCTCTGCCCCCAGTTCCTCCCCAGCCCCAACTGCACGAGGCCACCCCACAGCCCAAGCCCAGGTCAGCCCCCGCTGCACGGCCCAACCCCAGCAGCACTGTCTCCCTCAAAACCCAGAGCT